CCCACCTAAAAAGAAGTGACCTTCCAGCCATTATTTAATATTCAACAGCTTAAAGTACAAACTGCACCTTTACCTTTTAAAAATCTGATAAAGTTGAACTGCACTTTTAATAAACCACCTAACATTCACTCCAATGAAATTTAACCCATTGATCTAACTAAAGTTCATGATATAAGGTTTACTTATTTTATTTTATACAATGTAGGTATAGTTAAAATAAAAATTGTTAGCATAAATGTATATTAATATATGTTGATGCTATTTGAGCCAGTGTACTTGAGCACTTTTACTCTTTCTTAACTCGAGGTATTTTCAAAACCCCTCTTTACGCCTTGACTAGATTATTGTTTATCACTTCATCAGACTAAGAAATAATTGACCTCAGATCTGTATACTACCTCCCCGAGGAGCCTGTACCCATTCTGAGATTTGATAACGCGGTGTTGGTAAGTCTGTCAGTTTTCGAAAATAATTTTAGGGTTCTATCCTTTATGTATTATTTGATCGGATCAATCTTAAGGTCCCTGAGGATGTTATTCGTCCTAATGTACCATGGTACTTTGAAAAGTTTTCTCAGAGCCTGGGTTTGTGCAATTTTTAGCTGACGAATAGTAGTGTTTGAAGCTTTGCTAAACGCTACACATCCATAAAGAAGTGACGAACGAATTATTTGGTTATATATTAGTTTCCTGTTCTTAGCATTGAAATTTTCATTTCTGAATAACGATTGGAGGTGATGAAGAATTTTGGCACAGCTAATTCTTTTCAGTTAAGCATGTTGAAGCCATATGAATCGTTTGTCCAACGTGTTGCCGAGATATTTATATTTAAGTATTTAAAAAAAATATATATAATTTTATATATATAATATCTTATAATTTATAATATAATATGTATCATTTTATTTTTTTTATTATATAGACTATTAAAAGATTTTTATTTAGATTTACAAAAGCTTTTAAAACACGAAGACAAAACTTTATATTATTATTTATAAAGAGGTTTTTTTCGAAGAGTAATGACCTACAACAACAAAAATTTTATTTGTTATATTATTTTAATTAATTGAATTTTTGGCTGACCATACAGCTGTTTCGAGTATTGCCAAATACCCATCATCAGTGGTCTTGGAAATAATTCTTGTATTTAATTATTCGTAAATAATTATTTTTGAGTCTGCAAGTACTATTATTATTTATCTTAAAATACACTAGAGAGAATAAGTATATGTCTAAAAACATGTATAATCTCTTCCTAGAATTCCATACCAGTTCAATTACAATCACTATAATCCATCTTTGCACAAATTAAGATTGAAGTCACTTACTATAAGTCGGAATAGTGACTCTATTCAATCAAATCAAACCATATTTGGCAATTTGTAACAAAACTGCACCATAAAACACTGACAATCGACGTAGTGCCCAAATAAAAACAATTTGAAAAGTATTTCAAAGTAAAATAAGAAAAAATTAAAAGCTAAACAAAAAATAATATAAAGTAAACTAAAAAGTATCTTTTTGTTTACATTTGATTGGAATGTTTGCATTGCCATTATGTCTAAAATGTTTACTAAATACAAAAAACTTGCATTTTCGTTTTAAGGCAAGTATTCCATTTTATTTCCAAATTTGTAGATTTTTTAATTCAAAATATTGTAAATAATAAATTAATTAAAAACACGTCACACTCGATTGCGTTACACATAAAATGCTGCATAAAAAATGTTGCCATTTTAGGATAAAAAAACTTCAATATAATTTGAAAAGTCGCACTGCGACAGCAGATTTACGCGTCTCTAGACAAGTACAATTTATGCAAAATTCGTTAGATACAATCCGTTTGGTCGACCGTTAATTCGAAAATCTAAATTGAAACGCTCAAAAAGGGGAAATCAAAAAGCGCGCTTAATTGGGCGCGTACGATTGCCGTTTCAATGTCGTCGAAGAGTAACACGCAAACAGATACAAACGTACAACTGAGATACAGATACTCTGTGCTGAGATACTCTGCCAACACCAAAAAACGTCACAAAATTTCAAACAACTGTTGATCATGTTCATCTTTTGGCAATAAAAAAAGTATCTACCAAACAAAACAAGAAAAATATAGAAAATATATTTGTTTTTATTATCTTTTTTTCGCAAACACACTTTATTTTTATACGAATAGATACAATGATCGCGTCAGTTATGGCTTCTAACGTATTTCTAAGCATTCCAAAAAAGCAAACAAATGTGAAATACATTTACCGCATATCAACATATCAAAAATATACAAAAAAAAACAAAAAAAAAAATACTTTATAAAAAACATTTAAAAGGTTATTTCTTGTTATGGTGGAATTTTTATCTGAAGTATTTCTAAAAGAACACATGATGTCATCTAATAATGAGAGTGAAATTCTTTTCAGTTACGAATTTTTCGTCGAAATTGTGTGGCGAATTTTAAGTGAAGTGGCAAAAAAAACGCACTAAGAATGAAGACATTTTCTTTAAAATTCATGGAAATATAACCACTTAATTTATGATTAGATTTCGTTGAACTCATAATAAAAAATAAAATTAATTACAAAAATATTTTGAATTTAATAAATAAATTATTATTGTATATTAAATTGAAAGATGTCATTCGAACTGTTTCTAATTATAATTCAAATTCTTTAGGAACGTTTTGAATTTATTTATCGATCTGTTTTTTATAATGGTTTTTACATATTTTTTTAATCCGACTATAGGTCCCTTTTTCTACGCAGACCCAATGGAAACATTGCACGTCAAGCTCTGAGATGGAATCCTCAAGGCAGTCGTCGACCTGGAGCGCCGGCTAAAACTTGGAGAAGAACAATTGAAGAAGAACTACCATAAGAGCGGCGAACTATTCCTGGAGTGATTTATGTCGTGAATCAAATAACCTAATATGATATAAAAAGATGGTAGAGGCCCTATGCTCCACTGGGAGATAAGGATAAGCGAGAGAGAGAGAGATCCCTTTTTGTTGAATATTTCAACGTATAGCCTATAGCCGGATTAAAAAATATATAAAAACCATTCTTTATGAACTATTTTTTTTAACAAAGTAGAGAAAAAATCAAGAAAACATACACATAATTATACAATCTTCAAATACATTTCAAAAAATGTTTTACCATATATAATTTATTATATTATATCTGATGTATCTACTTAAACTATTTCCAATCTATTTAAGTTTTTTAATTACCCATTTGCACTAATGTTCATAACTCCATAGATTAGTCAATATAATGCAGTTGTAAAACAATACATATATACCGATTACATATTAATACCGAAAATAGCACATATTTGAATATATAAAATGCTGATACCGTGAAAACTCTCATTACAGACATGGTTGTTGAACCATATCGACTTCTTGTGTTATTTATCGGTTCATTATAATATACATAACAATCTTAAGACCAACATCAATACGATGAATAGAAATCTAAACAAAATTGGTGTAGGAAAACAGGATTTACGATCGTTGAATGAGAAATATACGAATAATAAAGTAATCTTGTATAACAGCATCATAAAACCAATATGGACTTATGGTATCCAGCTGTTTGGTAATGCTAGTACTTCAAATATTGAAAGTATCCAAAGAGCTCAGTCAAAAATACTGAGAACAAACACTAGTGTCCCATGGTATATTAGAAATGAAAGTATCGACCGAGATCTACAAATTCCCTTAAAGAAAGCTGAATTTGACAATATAAAAAATAAATACAATAAAAGGCTAACAGACCATGTTAACGCCTTAACAAGGATCTCACACTTCTATCCATTACTTCTCGCCTAAAAAGAACTGACCGTCCAGCTATTATTTAATATTCATTAGCTTGAAGTAAAAACCGCACCTTTCCTTTTAAAAATCTGATAAAGTTGAACTGCACTTTTAATAAACCACCTAACATTCATCTTATTACAGACATGGTTGTTGAACGGATACATCTATTGAACGGATATCTCTGTTGAAATTATATACTTGTTGAACGAACATTTCTTTTGAACGGACACCCTTGCTGGAACAGACAGTTCTGTTTAATGGGGACCAAATATTTTTAAAGAATGAAATGGGACAACTGAACCTCTTTTCATTGGAAAGAAATCAACCTATTCATATTTCACTGTAAAATAATATTATAATTCTGCCACGCAATTTAAACGATGCCAATATCGGAGTGCGCTAAATACTAAACGTTATAGCATATTTCAAACAATTGTCATTAGAATCAAAATTTTTATTTAACTTTTGTACCAATTAGAAAAAAATATTTGTGCAATAAATTAATTTAAAACTTAACTTTCAAGTATGCGAAAATAGAATAAATAGATCTGCATAATTTAACCATATTTAATCATTGAAATCTTTAAACAGAAGTGTTATTAATAGTGAATACCATAAAAATTATTCTAATATTCTTGTAAGTGAATAATGGGAATATATTTTTTATATCTTTTTATATCTTTTTATTTTTGCACTACAAACTATCATTTTCATTATTTGCAGATTTTTGCTTTTTTCCATACATTATTTATAATCAAAAATAGATTAATGATCTCAAATAATTTCATGGGAAAATTCTGTTAAAAGATTATTCTTTTGTTTTAAAACAAGTTTTCTTCATTATGTATGGTTGGAGGAAAAATTAGATTCATAAAGGGTTACACGTTGCAGTGGTGCTACACTGGTCAACAAATACTTTTTAATTCGAATTTGGTATTTTAACAGAATGGTTAAGTCATAATGGTCATTTTGTGAATAACTCTTTACATATAAACATTATTGAAGAGAGATTTAAAATAATATATGTTGAAGGAAAAAAATAATTATAAAAATATATGGAAATTATTTAATTAATATTTATTAATATAAATAAAAAATTTATATGACTCATGACAGATATATATTAGTTTATTTAATAGATTCATTTGAAGTTTCATTCCCATAAATATTGATTAGAAATAAATCCTATCTATTTGATTGCTACTCGCTAACTAAATCAGAAAGATTTATGTGTAGAAATAAACTCTATAATCCATTATCGTAATACTTCATCAAAATAAAAAATATAAAAAAATAATATAAATATAAAGAAAATATATATAGTCTTATATGATAATATAATATATGATAGTCCTGAATATAAGACACAACGCATATTTTTATCTATCTTCTATAATTCTTTTACATTTCGATTTCTACTAACTAATCGGAAATCTGTAATCTAAAATATTTTCTTAAAATAATGGTAGGTTGGTTATAGTGGCGGTCCAAAAACCTTAATTATCAATTTTACGCCGTTTGGCTGCCACATTTCTCGCAAGAAGTAGTAAGATAGAAGAACACGGATTGAATCTACCCTGTCGAATTTAGATATTTTAATAGGTCTTTTGTCTTTATCGATGAATAGTATAGAAAAATACTTTACTATTTTAAAAATTGAAAGATTGCTTTCAAGAAATAAAAAAGAATTGTATATAATGAGGATAATATATGAGTTATATGAGATTATATGGCCTTAAATCGGGTTGAGAAACTCACTTTAACTCTACGACTTTATTCTGATAGCACTACTTAAAACGGGATCCATTGTTCTTATGGAACCATATCAAAAATCTAATAAAGCGATAGATATTTTTAACCTCAGAACTGGACACTTTTGTAGTAGGACTAAAGTCATAATTGCCTAAACGCTCGCTCTGTTTCTGCCTACAGAAAAAGCAGTGTACTGGGTCTTTTTCTCCTTATTTCCACAATTTCATGAGAGGTAAGTGACAATCTAAGTAAATATCTGCCAAATACCCAGTTAAACGTTATACAAGTCAGACTCTTAGAGTCGTCCTCTCTTAGGAAGTTAAGGAGACCTGCAGATTTTTTTCTATCTACCTATATTAACCAGGGAATAAGAAATTTACTTTTATATTTATTATAAGCCTATTTTATTAAATCGAATTCACTCGTATATATAATCCAAACTATTATAATGTTTTAAAATATATGAGCAATAAGATGCAATTCTGCATGTCTTTTCATAATTGAAGTTTTTGTAGCAACTTCTTATAAACTTCTATAAAGCTTTAGGCTTCACTTATAAAAAAATTGTAGGCTGGTGTAATAAATAATGACAGGAGTATGTAAATAGGTTATTTTGTAAGTTTAATTACAAACGAGTACACAGGGAAAAGTGCTTTTAATTTATTCATTCATTGCAAAAGAACTAATAGCAGATACTATACCTTCTTGAGCGTTAAACGCATTACCATTTCTACAATTTGTATCTTCTAACCATTGGGAGCAGTAAAAAATTAACATATTTTTACATTTACTGTATAGGTATTCATTTTCTACCCTCTGACAATGTAATTGCTACATATGTAGTTAATATCTTTAAGGAATAAAGCAGATAAACCTTTGAGTTGAATTTGAAAATGCTGGAAATTTTTAGATAATGTAATTTAGGAAAACAGCTTGAGAAAAATGAGTATAAGTTGTCATAATGCTTTTTCAATATTTTTTCAATTAAAAAAATTATAAATTTTAGAATTCCATAAAAGAATATAAAATTATCCCCAGCTAGATACATATTGTTCCCCAAAATGGAGAAGGTCTTCAGAAGGTACATGCTACATCACAAAAAATATATTTACGAGTGTTAAAAAGAAAAATCATCCTGGACGTCCATAAACATGAAGTAATAAATAACACATCAATCAAACCAAAATTTAAGTGCTCAAAAATCATCGATTGATAATAAGACAGTTCGCTAATACTGTTGACATTTTATTTAGATCTGTTGATCTTTTATTTGTGCCTGTGAAAAGTAATATTTCGTTGGTTGCCAAATATCTTCAATTTTTTAAAAAAAAAATCATAGGTAAAATCTTAGTCAAGATTTTCCGACTAATAAAAATTGACAAAATACATGATACTTGAATATGAGAATTGGATCTGTGCATACAACCGAAAACAACCGACCAATCAAGCGACTACTACACAAAACCTGAGAAGACTAAGAAGATAGTTCTTAACAAAAAATATTATATGATCTATACGACGCATACTCTTCATTCAACTTTTTGCAAAAGAAATCTAGAATTCTTCTTCTTCTTGGTTCTTGGTTTTCACAACACGATAATATACAGTCTCACACATTGGTTTTTCGAGCCTACTTTGTACAAATTTTAACCCATAATGTTCAACAACTATCATATTTGTCTTATTGAACTCCGTATGACGTCTAGCTATTCTGCGTCAAGGATCAAGATTCTACTCTGAGGACTTGGCTTCGGCATGATTGAGCAGATAAATACCGAATAGCTTCGCTTTTTAAATGCTATTCCAAAAGTCGACTTTTAAATCGAGCCAATGTGTCTTCTAATCATTTAAGGTACTTCTATTATATCGGGGAAGGAATATTTTAAATGCAATGAGTTTGATTTAGTAGAATAAATCATGTTTTTAAAACTTATAAACAATTTTACTTTATTTTTTATAACAGTGTTATATAAAATATATTATATATTTTATATATTATTATATATTATATATATTACATATTTTACAATATGTGTTAACGGATATTTTTAATTAAAAATTTTAAATTGAAATTAAATGTTAAGAAACTATCTAGAGATAAATGTTTTTAAATTTATGTATTATATATAATTTAATATCTTATCTTTTTAATTTTTTTATCTTTTTATCTATCTTATTTATCTATCTTAAAAAATATATGTGAATATATAATTCCTTTCCGTTTTTTTTAAATAATTTTTTTTAACATTTCTACACTTCATTCACAAATCTTAATAAACTTAAAATTATATTTCAAAGTTAA